CGGAGGCCCGAGTTATGACCCAACACCGCCAGCAAAGAAGGAGAAGGCCTTCTCAGAAGGCTCGCAAGCCGCCAGGCATTATGGGAAATGTTCTAAGCCCCCCCAGAAGACACAGAAGATTTCTCAGGAGGGTCGGAGGCTTCTGAGAAGTCCCGCCGCCTTCTGAGGAGGCCTTCCCCGACTCACTTCCCCCCTTGCTCGCCGCCGATAAACAATGCCTTTCGTCTTCGTTTTGTTTTCGTTGTCCTTCGTTCTGTCTTCAACCCGCTCTGCTTCAAAAACGGCCTACACGTCGTTCATGTTTAAACGTGCTCATTTCTAAGTGTGCCCGTTTCTAATCATTCTTCCTGGCCCCCTAGTGGCCAGGAAGAGGCCCAGGATAGAAAAACTAGAAGTGAAAGGATCCTGGGCCCCCAGAAGATCAGAGAACTTCCGAGGAATTTGAAAGGAGCACCCTGCACGACAGATGGCCAAACCACTGCCAGGCCCACCCCCGACGCTCGAGAGGCCACGGCCCTCCTGCGAGGGCAGCCCGCGCACACACCGGGGAGGCCCCAGCACACGATGGGCGGGGCGCGCGGGTGCCCCGCCCGACTGCCGCGCGCGATCCCGCAGCCACCACCGTGCCCCCTCCGGGTGAGGCCAGGCCGTGCGCGCACCCCTCGGGGGCCCGTCGGGGGCCAGCTGCAGGCAATCCGGTCACGCCCTCGACGAGACCCACTGAACTCACGGAGGACCCCCTCGGTTTTCGCATGACGCTTGGCTGGTCGGCCGTTCGGTCTTCGGCGTCGAATCCAAGACGGCCCTTCGAGCCCCGAAGACCTGCCCGAGAGGGCCCCCGATGCCACCCAGAAGAGCCCAACATGCCCGCAAGTGCTGCCTCCAGGAGGGACTCGAACTACCCTTGTAGCCCTCCACCCCAATATGCCCCCCGAGACAGCCAGCAGGCCCCCAAAGAGGCCATCAAGAGGCCTCTTGAGGTCCCCAAGAGACTCTCGTCCACGACCCAGACACAATGGCATGATGGGCCGAAAGCCATTCGACCTGCTTGGCATGGGGGCGGGAAAACGCACCTTCTCATGTGATGGCGCGGGGTTGCTAGCTTGTCCGTTCGACTTCGCCCTTGTCGCATCCTTGGGGGGTCTTGGGGCACTCTTGGGCCGTCGTGGGAGACTCTCGGGCTGCCTTTGGGTCCTCTTGAACCGTCTGTAGGCATTTCAAGAGGGAGTGCATCACGATGTTAGAAACATCCTTTAAACATGCGAAGTTGGAGATTGATCATGTGTTGAAGGATGCACGCGTGGCTGCCGTTTGAACCTGCCTGGCCATTTCAGCCCGCCTTGCCGTTTCAAGCCGCCTGGGCGTTTTGCCACGAATGCCCACTTCAAGCCGCAAGGCCATCACGACCGCGTGACTGTTTTCGTCGGCGTGGCCGTTTTAACCCGCATGGCCCTTGTACCCCGACTGGCCGTTTCAAGCCGCCTGCGCGTTTTGACTCGCCCAGCCGTTTTCACTCGCCTGGCCGTTGGGACCGTTTACAACCTTGCAAGGCTGACATCCTCAACCGTTTTAACCCGCCTGGCCGTTTGAACCCGCCTATCCGTGTTAACACGCCTGGCGTTTTAGCCCGTCTGGCCGTTTTGACCCACCTGGCCGTTATAACCCGCCTGGCCGTTTGAACCCGCCTGTTTATTTGAACCCGCCTGGCCGTTTTAACCCGCCTGGGCGGTTTAACCCGCCTGGCCAACCTTTCGGAGCGATTCCAAGACGACGTCAACAACATCTCGTTGTTGTTGTGAGGACGTCCTGCGCGGAATCGAAATCTTGGGCAAGAGCGATACCACGACGATGTCGGCAACATCTCGTTGGTTGGGGATGTCCCGCGCGGAATCACCATGTTGGGCACGACCGAGACGCCGACGACGTCGACTACATCTCCTTATTGTGAGGATGTTTGTAGCGACATATCAGTCTCGGGCAAGAGCGATGTCGACAACATTTCATTTGCGCGACGATGCTCATCGCGAAATCGCCATTTTGGGCCAGACCGACGCCAAGACGACGTCGACGACATCTCAATTGTGTCAGCATGTGCCTAGGGGAATCGCAACTTGGGCAAGAACGATGTCGACTACATATCATGTGTGTAAGGATGACCGCAGCAAAATCGCCACCTTGGGCAAGGTCGAGAGCAAGACGACGTTGACAGCATCCCGTTTTGTTGTGAGGATGCGGTAAGCGAAATCACCGTGTTGGGCAAAAGCGATGTCGTCAACATTTCATTATTGTGAGGATGTCCCTCGCGAAGTCGCAGCTTGTTGGGCGGGAATGAGGCGTCGTGGAGCCGTCTTGTTTGGCTATGTTGAAGCTTTCCGAGAGCGATCCCAGGAGATGACGGTGTTTGAGGATGTCCCGAGCGAACTCCCCACTCTGGCTATTAGATCCTTGGGGCCAAGCCTGCCCACACCCTCAACCTCCCCCTCAATAATGTCATGTCTCCTGGCGAACGGATCGCACGCTACGCGCACTGTCCGTCATCCTCCGCCCCCTGTGCCTGCCGCAAGGTTGCTGGGCCTGCCCAGTGTTATATGTGTTGGCCACTCAGAAAAGTCACAGCGGCCTCCAAACCAACCCGCCACCCGCCCAGAAACCACATGAAAGTCAAGAAAACCCGCCTCCCAGTTCGCCAAGGTGGCCCATGATGGTTCACGGGCCCAAGACTGTCCAAGGTGGCCTCCAAGACAACCCAATTCGCATCCAAGGCGGCCTAGGAGGCTTCCAAGCGGAACTCCAAGAGAACACCAAGAGGCAAGACTACTAGATTTCCGTCAGTTTTGCAACCAAAACAACGTTCTCAGCATCGAGGGCTTCCGACAGACTCAGACGGCCAAAGGTCCCCAAAAAGGCCCCAAGACGGTCCAACATGGTCTGAAAGACGGCCAAATTCGTCTCCAAGTCTGCCAAAACTGGCCCTATACAGCTTCACAAACGGTTGAAGATGCCCTCCAAGACGACCAAGATGGCCCCAAGACGGCCCAACATGGCTCCAAGACAAACCCCCGGAGGCCCCTATAAGGCCCCCAAGGCCACCAACTCCTGCGCCGCCTCCTCCGCTTCCTCCGCCTCCTCCTCCTCCTCTTCTTCCTCCTCTTCTTCCTCCTCTTCTTCCTCCTCCTCCTCCTCCTCCTCCTCCTCCTCCTCCGCCTCCTCCCCCCCCTCCTCCGCCTCCCCCTCCTCCTCCGCCTCCCCCTCCTCCTCCTCCCGCTCCTTCTGCTCTGCCGGGCGCGGCCTTAGCCCTAAGGGGTCGGGGAGGGGGAGGGAGGGCGGCCCCATGGCGCGCACCCGCGTCGCACGCTAGACCCGAATCTCCTCCTCTTGGCCATCGCTCGGACGTCCACTCCCTGCGCTTTTTTCGGTTTCGTGCGTGGTTTTTTTAACTAATTGATCAAGGATTCTCCTCGATGGTCCTCGCCGAAGGAAAAGTGCACACGTCCGAGCCATGCCAAGGACGCGCCATGGGTCTCAGCTCGCCTTCCGAAGGGCTGGGGCCCCGGGCCCTTCAGGGCCTGTGCGGGGCCGTGCGGAGAGGGGCCGTCCACAGCTCTGTAAGCACCGAATAGGATTTGCGGCCAGGACCGAAAGCATGGCTCGGTACCGAAACTACTGTTCGGTCCAACGCTGTTGTTGGGTCTTCATTGTTGTGGGCTCGGTCCCCAGATTTGTTGTGCGGGGCCCTCTGCTCGAGGGGAGGCCCCACGGCGAGAAGCTCGGTCAAAAAAGGGAGGGCCCCGCCTCGAGGTCCGTCCGGGGGGCGAGCCCCGAGGCGCCCTGGGCCCTCTTGGAGGCCCAGGAGGCCCGCTGGAGGGCCCCTTCTTGGAGGCTCCATACAGAGCGGGCGCGGCCACAAGAAACCTTCGCAGGAAACCCAGCCCTGAAAACCCGCGCGCGGTGTGAAACCCAGAGCACCCTGGACGCAGCAGCTTCTTCAGCGGCTGCGGGAAGTCACCGCGCAGCGCGCGGAGCAAAGAGACCCAGGGTGCCCTGACGAAAAGCAGAGGGTCTCTCGATGCGCGCCCCCACTGTGAGGCCCCTCGCCTCCCACCTGCTCCCCCCGGCAGTTTCGCAGAGCGCGAGGGGAACACACAGTCCACCAGCGTGACCGCTCCTTCGCTCGACGTTTCCACACACACACACACACCACACACACACACACACGCACACACACACACACACGCACACACACACACACACACACACACACACACACGCGCGCTCCCAAGAGGCATATGGAAGTGGTGGCTGGCCGCAAGCGTCTACGATCTGCCACCCCCGTAGCCTGCCGGAGAGGTGGCTGGCGTGCCAAACTTGAAAACTGTTGTTTTGCCCCTCAAAAGGTTCCCTGCGATATTTGGCCCGACCTGCTGGTCGCCTGGAGAGTGCCGCACAAGGTACGACCCGTGCCCGTCCGCCCGAGATGGCTTCAAGAGGGTCTCCAAGAGAGCCCTGATCACCATGAAGTCAGCCCAAGGTGGCCACAGTGGCCCTTAAGACACGCTTATCACACGAACAAGATGGCCCCTGCATTGCCGAAGCTGGCCCCAAGACGGTCCAAGAGGCTCTCGTGTGGGTCTCGCGGGCCATCTTGGGGACCCTCAGTGTCAGCCCAAGAGGTACCAAGGCAGGCCCAAGACGGCCGACTCAGGCAACGGGAGGACCCCAAGCCAGCTCCAAGCCAGCCCAAGAGGGCCACAAGACGGCCGCGGATGGCCCTACGTACAAGAGCCGCAGAGCGGAACGCAAGGCGGCGTTTGAAGGCGCCAGATGGCCCAAGAGCGCCCTGAGACGGCACCACAGAGACCAACGATGGCCCAAATCTCGCCTGGAGGCCCCAGAAGGCAACGAGGGCAGAACAAAAGGTTCGAGATTGTCCCAAGACGGTCCCAGAGGAGTCCTCCCCAGCGTTCCCCGAATGGGTTCCCGAACAGCTCGGGAACAGGCGTTTCAGCACTGCGGCAACCACACTTTCTCTCAACCTTCCACGGTGCCAGCGTGTTCAAAAGGCAGGAGACGGCGGTGATTCGTTTCAAGCGTCTTAAACAAAAAGAAGGAGCAAGAGGAACAGTGCGGGAACAGGTATCGGTGGGGGGCAGGGAAGACATAGGAGTTGGAACTGGAGGGGGAACACAAGCAGAACAAACGAGATCCGTCCTGTAATCGCCCGCGCGCCTCGTGAGCGGAGTTGGGTGGCAACCTGGGAGATTATTGTGATTGTTTGTGGGCACGATGAGGAGGTGTTGAGCTCCATTCAACAGCTAGACTGTCAGATTCGGGAGCTGTCGGACGGACGGGAGCAAGCCGAAGTTCGCCAGATTCGGCGAGACCAGTAGCAAAAAATGCGAGGCCGATGACTGAAGTAACTCCTCTGGAGTTGCAATCACATTGAGGGGGCGGGAGCGCGTACATACATTGGCCCTTAGCAGCCGCCTCGTCGAGACACCCCTAGCCTGGGCCTATCGAAGCGCGATGTCCGCCTCGGGGTCCTCTGTGGTGCCGAGGCTGGTTGTGGTCTTCATGCTGGTTGTAGTCTTCCTGGTGGTGGCCTTGCTCGTCGTGGTGGACGGTGCGGGAGTCGGCTCTGCTGTCGCCTTCGCCTCGCAGCCGATCTCCTTGACCACGCAGCACCACAACCTCTTGTTGTGCTTCCAATCTTCTGCCTCGCCCATCGTGCAGTCGTACGGGTCGGGGTCGTCATCGTCGTCGCTGCCGCCCCTGTCCTCGGCGGCACCACCTTCGTCCCTGCTGCCCCGGGGTGCGACGGCCGCTCCGCGAGCGCCGGCGCTGGACTGCTCCTGCCTCGGAACGGCGCAGGTGCTGTCGTAGTCGCTGCAGCATGCGTTGTGCCTCCCGCAGTCCGCATTGCACTGGCAGGAGTGCGTGGCATCGTACCCGAAGCAACCGTAAGACTTGCACGAGCCCTCATCGTCGACGTCCGCGGGAACATCCGCAGGCGCTTCCTCCGTCTGCGGCGGTCCTGTCTCGCAGACTTTTTGGAAATCTGGGCAGCAACTGTCGTACTGATAACAGTCCGCATTGCACTGGCAGGGTCGATCGGCATCAAAAGGTGAGCACCCAAACTCCTCGCAGCTGCCCTCGGGGGGACTGTCTGCAGCTGCTTCAGGTGGACCTTCGCTCTCCTCCGGCGCGCACACTCGGTTGAAGTCCCCGCAGCAGCTGTCGCGCTGCTGGCAGCCGGCGTTGCACTGGCAGGGGTTCTCCTTCACGAATCCGATGCAGCCGAATTTCGCGCAACTAGCGTCAGGGTCTCCACCCGGCGGTGGCGGGGTCTCATCTGCGCCGCGGGCAGTGCTGCAGATGTCCACGAAATCGTCACAGCAGTTGTCGTGCTCCGCGCACTCATCGTTGCACTGACAAGCGCGCAGTGGGTCGAAAGGTACATCGCAGCCAGACTCTGCGCAGCTGGCGCCAGCAGGGGGTGGCTCGGCCATGCTGCGGGCCCGAGCGGCCGTCGTGTTCCCGAAGTTGCTGCCTTGCTGCCAGGATGCGGCTCTCTTGGTGGGCGCAGCGGCAAGAGGTGCTGTGAGGGGCACTGCGTCGTCTGCGAGCCCTCGGGCATCTGATGCTGCGGGAGGTGCGGGCTGGTCGGCCTGCGGCGGCCAGCCCACCGACTGCCCGACGGCCGCGGAGGACGCGCGGCCGCGGTGGGCTCCAGCCTTCCTGGTGGGAGGCGCCTGCAGCCATGCGAAGGCTGCGGCGGTGGCGAACACGCTTGTGAGGATGGCGGCTGCAGCCAGGCGCCTTCGGCAGCTGGCGGTGCCCGCGCATCCAGGGGCGTCACCCTCGGCGGCCTGCGCGTGCCAAAGCTCGCCGTCCTCGTCGGCGGCGGTGCTCGCTGCCACCGCGAGCGGCGGGCGGCACGGGGTGCGGGTGAAGGCGTCGCCCAGGAAAGGCTCCCCGTCCACGGCCTCTCGGAGCGAATTCTCGGCAAGCGAATTCTCGGCAGTCGTCGCAGTCAGCGCGGGCCACAGCGCGCATCGCGGCATCGCTTTGTGCCGTGCGCGTGCGCCCCAGCGCGCACCACCTCATGACAAGCTGCCGTCTTTGAGCCACACGGCCACGAAGGGCCAGCAGCAGTAGCATCACGACAACGAGTGTGAGGGGGGGGTGCAAGAGGACGACCTGTGGCAGGCCACAGCGGATATTTCTGCATGAGGTGCGAGGCCGAAGACGCGCCGGCGGCCGTGGGGCCGCTACACGCTGTGGCGCGCTGCAGCCTGCTGCCGTTGCGGGCGCAACACGCCGACTCTCCCAGACGGACTCCTTTGGGACCACCGGGCTTGCGAGAGCCTGGGTGTAATAGGATCTGCGTGTGCGCGGCTGACATGCATGGGCATCAGGCGAATGCGACCAAGATAGGATCACTGACTGTGAGCGGGCCTGAACGCAAGCGGGTCTGACTGCGAGTGTCTGAGTATGAGTGGGTCTGGGTTGTCATGAGTGGTCCCACCTGACTACCTGCCAGACCACCCCAACCCAACCCGAAGACCCGAATTTCGGGTTGGGGGGTAAGGGTTCCACATGTGTATTTGTCGATGTTCCCCGACCCCCCCCCCCCTAGGGCCAAAAAGCAGAGAGAGAGAGAGAGAGGAGGAGAGAGAGAGAGAGACATATGGATAACATCGTTTCATACATGTATGTGTATAGTTGAATCAGATCTGAGACCATAGAGTGCAGAGCAAGGTGTCAGGGCACATGCAGAGAACATAAACGATATGCACACAAAGGCTTTACAGCATAAAAACATAAAGGGATAGTGAGGGATATATAAGGAGAGGACATGCGTGGAATGCATGCGAATATTCCAGGACATCCATTGCTTGGGATTTTGTTCTAGTGTAATGTCGCTGTAGAGGGCGCGGACGCAGAATTAAGCAACCATAGCACCGAGCACACCATACGACCAGTAACATACCAATATTATATTCAACTCGCTACTGGAAGGCCGTCACTATCCATACTTATAGTGATCACAAGTTGCGTCGTGATTGCTACCACAGCCTCCCCGATCACCATCATGCACTGTATTGTCGATTTCGCCCGGGGGGGCAGAATAGAAAGGCACCCCAATTGAAAAGGAGTCCGGCAGATCATTGTCACAACCACCTGGGAGGCCTGGTTTCAAAGATCCGCATCTCGTTGAAAGGGATCGTCGCCCTCTGTAGCAAACGCTGTCGTGTCTGTCTGTGCTCCAAGAGCCAGTCGAACATATGCGAGCCCTGCCTCACGGTCGGTTTGGAGGGGGGGATCTGGATGATTTTGTCATGCAATTTATCCTCAGATGGCTCCAATATGATCCTACGAAGCCCCTCGTACGGCGCGAGGTGGCATTTAGCATGCCTTCAGGAGGCCCTGGGAAGGCTCCAAGACAGCTCTAAATTGGCACCAGAGCCTTCCACATCACTGAGCAAAGCGATGCCCTGAGCGGATCTGTGCCTCAAGTGTGTCTTCGATTTTGGATGGACCTCTGAAACCTCACGATTGCCCAAACATTGTCAGCGATGCCCAAAGGCACCCCGAGAGAGTCTTCAGATGGATGGAAAATGCTCGGGCTCCGAAAGCACTGCCTTGTTGTTGTTGTTGTTGGCCGATGGCCTTCAGCAAGGCCCACCGGGCGTCCCCACATGCAACGACAACCGAAAAACATATCCTGGCGAAGGACCCAACCGGATGCAGTTGTGCGTACCGCAACTGTGATTATCTTCTTCGGTAGCGATCCCTAGGGGGCCACGAAACGCCTGAGGGCTGTGCCGGGGCCTTCGGTGGAGCTCCCTGTGGGGCCACGAAACGTGCAATGAGTGTGCCGCCATTGGTGCTGTGGGCGCATCGGAACGCAGCCACTGGGGCCTTCGGTGGAGCTCCTTGTGGGGCCACGAAACGTGTGAGGGGGGTGTCGAACTGGGTGCGGTGGGCGCATGCGAACGCAGCCACTGGGACCTTCGATGGGGCTCCCCGTGGGGCCACGAAACGTTTGAGGGGTGTACCGACATGGGTGCTGTGGGCGCAAGCGAACGCAGCCTCAGGGACCTTCGGTGGAGTTCCCAGTGGGCCACGAAACGTGTGAGGAGTGTGCCGAAATGGGTGAGGTGGGCGCATGTGAACGCAACCACTGGGGCCTTCGGTGGGGCTCCCTGTGGGACCACGAAACGTGTGAGGGGTGTGCCGAAATGGGCGCGGTGGGCGCATGCGAACACAGCCACTGGGGCCTTCGGTGGGGCTCCCTATGGGGCCACGAAACGTGTGAGGAGTGTACCGAAATTGGCGCGGTGGGCGCATGCGAACGCAGCAATTGGGGCCTTCGGTGGAGCTCCCTGTGGGGCCACGAAACGTGTGAGGGGGGGTGTGCCGACATGGGTGCGGTGGGCGCGTGCGAACGCAGCCATTGGGGCCTTCGGTGGAGCTCCCTGTGGGGCCACGAAACGTGTGAGGGGTGTGCCGACATGGGTGCGGTGGGCGCATGCGAACGCAGCCACAGGGACCTTCGGTGGAGCTCCCTGTGGGACCACGAAACGTGTGAGGGGTGTGCCGAAGTGGGCGTGTTGGGCGCATGCGAACGCAGACACAGGGACCTTCGGTGGGGCTCCCTGTGGGGCCACGAAACGTGTGAGGGGTGTGCCGACATGGGTGCGGTGGGCGCATCGGGACGCAGCCACTGGGGCCTTCGGTGGGGCTCCTTGTGGGGCCACGAAACGTGTGAGGGGTGTGCCGACATGGGTGCGATGGGCGCGTGCGAACGCAGCCAATGTGGCCTGCGGTGGGCTCCGTGTGGAGCCACGAAACGTTTGAGGGGTGTGCCGGCATGGGTGCGGTGGGCGCAAGCGAGCCCAACCATTGTGGCCTTCGGTGGGGCTCCCTGTGGCGCCACGAAACGTGTGAGGTGTGTGCCGGAATGGGTGCGGTGGGCCCATTCGAACGCAGCCACTGGGGCCTTTGATGGAGCTCCCTGTGGGCCACGAAACGTGTGAGGGGTGTGCCGAAATGGGTGCGGTGGGCGCATGCGAGCGCAGCCACTGTGGCCTTCGGTGGAGCTCCCTATGGGGCAACGAAGCGAGTGAGGAGTGTACTGAAATGGCATGCGAACGCAGCCAGTGTGGCCTTCGGTGGAGCTCCCTGTGGGGCCACGAAACGTGTGAGGGGTGTGCCGACATGGGCGCGGTGAGCGCGTGTGAACGCACCATTGAGCCTTCGGTGGGGCTCCCTGTGGGGCCACGAAACGCTGTCCTGGGTGGGGGACCCGCATGCGAACACCTCCACTGGGGCCTTCGGTGGAGCTCCCTATGGGGCCACGAAACGCTGTCCAGGGCGGGGGGGCCGCATGCGAACACCCCCATTGGGGCCTTCGGTGGAGCTCCCTATGGGGCCACGAAGCGCTGTCCAGGGTGGGGGACCCGCATGCGAACACCCCCGCTGGGGCCTTCGGTGGAGCTCCCTATGGGACCACGAAGCGCTGTCCTGGGTGGGGGACCCGCATGCGAACACCCCCACTGGGGCCTTTGGTGGGGCTCCCTTTGGGGCCACGAAAACGCTGTCCAGGGTGGGGGAACCGCATGCGAACACCCTCACTGGGGCCTTCGGTGGAGCTCCCTATGGGGCCACGAAACGCTACCCTGGGTGAAGGACCCGCATGCGAACACCCCCACTGGGGCCTTCGGTGGAGCTCCGTATGGGGCCACGAAGCGCTGTCCAGGGTGGGGGACCCGCATGCGAACACCCCCACTGGTGCCTTTGGTGGGGCTCCCTTTGGGGCCACGAAACGCTGTCCAGGGTGGGGGACCCGCGTGCGAACACCCCCACTGGGGCCTTCGGTGGAGCTCCCTGTAGGGCCACGAAACGCTGTCCTGGGTGGGGGACCCGCATGCGAACAACCCCACTGGGGCCTTCGGTGGAGCTTCCTTTGGGGCCACGAAACGCTGTCCAGGGCGGGGGACCCGCATGCGAACACCCCCACTGGGGCCTTGCCTTCGGTGGAGCTCGCTATGGGGCAACGAAACGCTGCCCTGGGTGGGGGACCCGCATGCGAACACACCCAGTGGGGCCTTCGGTGGAGCTCCCTATGGGGCCATGAAACGCTGCCCTGGGTGGGGGACCCGCATGCGAACACCCCCAGTGGGGCCTTCGGTGGAGCTCCCTATGGGGCTACGAAACGTGTGAGAGGTGTGCCGAGAGCAAAGGCAAGGAGGGGGAGGAGGGAGGAGGGAGAGGAGAGGAGGGAGGAGGGGGAGGAGGAACGAAGGAAGGAGGAGACGCGGGGCGCTGTCTATTCAAAACGAGGACCCAACACCACAGGATGGCTGGGAATAAGCCATCGGTGTGGCCGCTCAATGGCGTGGCCGGTTACTGGCCCCGATGCGCAAGCGAGATACTTCGGGCCCCAACTTGGCAAATGGTGTTCCCAACCATCCTGTAGTGTTGGGTCCTCGATTTGAATCAGCAGCGCCCCGCGTTCCAGCTCCTCCTCCACTCCTCCTCCCCCTGCTCCCTCCTCCCTCTTCCCTCCTCCCCATATCTGCCTCTGCCCACCGCCGCACGTCCATTTCGGCAAACCCAACAAACGCTTCGTGGCCCCAGATAGGACGCTCCACCGAAAGCCTCATTGGAAAGGTTCGCATGGCGGCCCCGGCCAATTTCGACACATTCGTCGCACGTCTCGCAACCCCATAGGGAGCTCTACCGAATGACCCAGTGGCAGGGTTCACATGGCGGCCCCGCCCCAGTTGGGCGCTCCACTCACACGTCTCGTGGCCACACAGGGAACTCCACCGAAGACCCAAGTGGCAAGGTTCGCATTGCGGCCCCGCCGCAATTGGGCGCACTCCGAACACGCTTCGTGGCATCATAGGGAGCTCCACCAAAGGCCCCAATGGCAGGGTTCTCTTAGCGGCGCCTCCCCGTTTCAGCACACCCCTCACACATGTTGTGGCCCCATAGGGAGACCGAAGGCCCCAGTGGCAGGGTTCGCATGGCGGCCCCGCCCCATGTGGGCGCATCCCTCACACGTCTCGTGGCCCCATAAGGAGCTCCACCCGAGGCATCAATAGCAGGGTTTTCATGA